TGGTGGCCGAGAACTGCCAATAGAAAAATCCGCATTTTTGAAAGAAAATTGTTTTCTTTTTTATTTTGATTTACATTTTTTTTTATTTTTCAATTTATTTTTTTATTTTTAAAAATAGAGTGAAAGTAAAATCAATTGAAATAAAAATAAAATAAAATAAAACCAAAGTAAAATAAAATAAAACCAAAGTAAAATAAAATAAAACCAAAGTAAAATAAAATGAAATTATTCGACCCAGCCGAGAGCTGCCACTACCAGCATGCATTGCGTGCATCGTAAAGATCCAAAATGGCGGGAATATAGGGACTGTTCTCCCGGGCTGTTCTCGAAAATGGCGGATAGCAGGGTTTCATCGTGGAAAGAAGACGATCCCCTTAAAGGTGCACTGCAGAAGTATGTCAAACAAGGCCTCAAACGCGAAGAAGCGATCGATTTTTTACGGAGAGACTTTCCTCAATACGCCTGGAGTATCCGAACACTCGACAGACGTTTACGCCATTTCGAAGTTTATTACAGGGATGACACTGTTTCGGTTGAAGATGTTAAAGAGGCTGTTAAAAAGGAATTGGAAGGACCAGGAAAGCTATTGGGATATAGAAGCATGCACAAGAAAATAAGACAAAAATATGACTTGTTAGTTACGCGAGATCAAGTTTACGATGTGATGTCTGATCTTTACCCCGATGGACTTGCTGCTCGCGGAGGCGTTGGAGCTAAGAAGGCAAGGCGAAAGAAAGGAAACTTCTCTTCGAAAGGACCAAACTGGGTCCACTCCCTGGACGGTCATGATAAATTAATGGGTTTCCAAAATTCCACTTTTCCGATTGCTATTTATGGCTGCTTAGATACAGCCAGCAGAAAGCTGCTATGGTTGCGAGTTTGGAATAAGAACTGTGACCCGCAATTGATTGGTCGTTGGTACTTGGAGCATATAATGGAGACCAAGGTAATTCCTGCAATGATCAGAATCGACAAAGGTACAGAAACAGGCACCATGGCCACAATTCATGCCTTTCTTCGTAGACATCACACTGACGTTGTGGATCCTGCAGACACAATTTTGTATGGTCCATCAACTTCAAACCAAGTAAGTAAGCTCATCTCTCAAGTGCTGTCTAATTATATTATGTGAGTGTGCCAAATTAGTCAACGAGTCTTTCGGTGACTTTATTTGAGTGCCAGGAAAAGTATTATTGTTGTTTGTTATTTAATCATTTCCTCAGTAACAAGTAATATTTTAATCCACCCTATCATCTGATTTCCGGCAAATGCACATTTCACAAAATGTCATTTAAAAAAACGTTTTCCTCTAGATCGAAAGATGGTGGAAAGAATTACACGAAAGAATGGAAAAATTTTTCAAAAGTCAGTTAAGATGGCTTAAAGATCAAGGGCATTATGACCCACATGATGATATTGACAGGTGAGAATGGGCAAGTCTCCCCCCTCCACCTCCGCCCACACGCACACATACACAGGCTATTCATTTCAAGGTTTGTTTTTAAACTCCAAAAGTGACATTGAGTTATTGTTTTAGAATATGTTGCAGTTTTGCTAGGGCATGGCACGTGGGTGATTGAAAGCTCAATCAACATAAACATTATTTTGCCTAAAGTTAATATACATACATTTTTTATAGCAAATTAATTAATTTCTGTATGAATGCAATAACACATCCCCTCCCCCTAAAGCTTATATATACTCGAGTCAAATAGATATGGTTGAGGGGGCCCAGGAAAAATTTTAGTTAGGGAACCCCCCCCCAAAAAAAAAAAAAAAAACTTGCTGGCTTATATATTTTAATTGAAACTACCTATACACCAACGTGTTTGTTACCTTTGCTTATTTTGTTTTCCTACATAGGAAGCTTCTTTCTTTTATTATGGTTCCTGTGGTTCAGAGAGAGCTAGATACATTCAAGGAGATGGTGTGGAATTCCCACAGGATCAGAGCCCAGAAGGACACAGTTTTACCAGATGGGGTCCCAAACCATATTTACAGTTTTCCTCAGAAATATGGGCTTGAAGAATGCGGTAAAAAAATTATAAGGTTTTGTCAAAACTGGTTTTGGGATATTTCTGTTTTATTCAAAGTGAACTATGGCATAGTTATAATGCTTCAACAATCAACCAATGATAATTTATTTGTAGAAATTTCAAGGCATAATTTTATTGCCCAGAAGGAAATTATTTGTTGCTAAAATCCTTGGGCCTGAAAGTCGCATATCTATAAAAACCTAATGTGGTGCTGACACTGCCAGTCACACTAGATGATGAATGCTAAGATTGTTTTCTATTGGCAATGTGCAGGTCTTCAAGTAACTGATGATCAACTAAAAGAAGCTGCTGTCCAGTCAGGCATCCTTACTGTTGATGATGACTTTCTCGCCCCTGAGTTCAGAGCAGAGTGTGAACGAATCATTGACACTGACCATTTGAAACCTGCTGATTGCAAGGAAGCATTTCTTTTCCTAAAGAGAAATTTTTCTTTGTAATAACTCCACTGTTTATCCATGCTGTTATGCCCTTGACTCTATTTTTATAGTGAAAGCAGCATGTTTTCTCCCACATCCTCCATTTTGTTACTATGAACTTTGTGCAGCCATAAACAACAAATTCATCGAATGATAATGTATCTGAACATGATATCCATAACCTTTGTGGAAATAAACTGGAACGAACAATAACACTGATGGCAATAACAGTAACATCGAAAGGGCAGCAGAAGCAAGAAAAACTATGCACCTTACTAATACAAATAATACAAATTTTAACCATCAATCCTCACATGGTGGGTTGAGGAGAAACATTAACAAGAGCAGGTGTTTTGGTGTCCTAAATTGGGGTACATGAAAACATATCTGCTTGAGGGTGAATTCAGCAACAACAAGGTTGGTTAATATCACAATCCTGCAGCCCACCCCTGGAAACAAATTATGACTGCCCCGTAAATTATGATATGTAACCATGGGATTTTATGTGAACTAGCTATTTTGTAAACAGTGTATCAAGTTTTGTCAACAATGTCTCAATGTTCACAATTTTATAGCAGCTTGAGTTGCCCCTTAATTTTCTATTGCTGGTAGGCCAAGCAAGTTACAGAACAAACTACAAGTGTGCTCTTTCACAAATGTTGAAATTGCTACTTTGGAAAGATTTCCAGTACAATACAGGTATTGCTTGTCACCCTCGTCCAGTAAATCTGTAGAAGCAATTTCTGGGTCATTATTNTTAAAGTGCCCCTGAGATCAAAATTTTCGTACATCATTTTTTTCCATTTTCGTGTTCAGTGTGTCTCCTTCACCTACTCTGCCAAATTTCAGTTTAGACCGAGCACCAGAAATATCTTTTTTCGGGCCGTTAAATTCACGATTTCGCGTCCGCCGTTATTTGATCATGTTCTGGAAGTTGATCGCAGGACTCAGAGGAAGTGACGTCAAAGGCTCAACGCGAAAATCTCACATGGTAAAATGTCAAGCAAACATAACAGAGTGCTTTACTCTATTCTTCAAAAACGAAACAAAAATGACCGGGCATTGATGCGTAATTCAAAGCTGAAGTAATCGAGCAGACCATGCTGCAGGTATTTCTTTACATTGGAGCCTTGCAAATAGATCAGAGCGGGAAAAACGGACGCGATTTGTGCGACCTCGCCGGATAAACTTCAATCTACAGAAATATTTGTGATCTACTCCGAACACTTCTCGGAGGACTGTTTCGAGAGATCTGTGTACTTTGAAGGATCTAAACGTAGAATTCTGTCGGGTTCAGTGCCTACCATTGAAGAGAAGAGGGGACAAGAAAAACCGTCCTCAGTGCGATCTCGACGCCGGAGAGCGAAGTCTACGAACCTCCACGGGTTTTGTCACCTTTACATATGAGCTAATCAATATCCACCTTTAACAACTCTCTGGTAGAATACCTGACACAAAGGAAAGAACTCGGTGAACATCGTAAATAAGAATGATAAAATAGCCGAATTGAGGATTGAGATTTCTGACCTCAAAGAGCTCATTTTTATACAAAAGAGATGAAAAATATAATTGTGTTCTCTGATTCTAAAAAAAGCTGGCTTTAATACCAGCGAAAGCAGAACAAACAGCCTAAGATATAGAGCGTAACAACACTTTAAAATGTAGGCTTGCAGCCAAAAAACCGAGAAAATGAAAATTTCTTTAAAAACCTGTCAAAATATCAACCATCTGACAGCCAAGTCAGCTTGCTATCGAAGGGTCTCAAATTCAGCCCAACGCCCGTGACAAACGAATTTAAAATCAGGCCAACTTTTGCGAGATTTATTCGCAAGACGAATGCGCCTCCGTTACACCTTTCACGGACAAAACAAAGAACCACTT